TTTATGTTATCATAGTGTTATTAAAATGCACTGGTTGTGTGCTTGGATCACCTTAAAACCACCACCGACTTCACCAATTACATTCTCGATTGGCACCTTGGTGTCTTCAAATAACACCTCACAAGCTACGGAAAGTACAAATATTCAATGAATGTGCGTGCCAAAAAAGGGCACAAACATCCTTTTAACTTCATTTTGATCAATAAATATATTGGGTAGCACTTTGCAATAAGGTTCATTAGTTAACATGAACTAAGAATGAACAATACTTCACAGCCTTTATAAATCTTAGTTGATATTAATTTCAACATTTACTAATACATTATTACAATAAAAGGTTGTATTTGTTAACATTAGTTAATGCACTGTGAACTAACATGAACAAACAGCTGTATTTTTAGTAACTAATATTAACAAAGATTAATAAATACTGTAACAAATGTATTGCTCATTGTTAGTTAATACATTAACTAATGAACCTTATTGTAAAGTGTTCCCAAAATTGTTATATATAAATAATCTTTCAAACTCACTGTTTGATCCTCTGATGCCTAGTTTGTCCTCAGGTTTGCCACTGGTGATGCCACCGAATGCCCTCTCTACAATGAAAGCTGTGATCTTATCTTTCTTTTGGCCATCTTTGTCAACAACTTCTGTCCTGGCAAACACGGTCATGATGTCTGCCCATCCTCCATTGGAAATCCAAAACTTGAGATCAAACAACAAGATTTAATCGAAATACAGCCAGTGAAGAGATTTCACTAAGCTAGACAGAATGATCTGACTGAATCTGTCACCTTTGTGCCATTGAGCAAGAAGTGCTTCCCATCTTCTGTCAGCGTGGCCCGTGTCTGTATAGATGCAGCATCACTGCCGCTAACACACGAGAGTACATTTCATTTAAAATAATAATCATAGCAGATCTGAAAAAGGATCGGTTCTAAATCTTAGGTGAAATACGGTACCTTCCAGGTTCAGTGAGGCAGAAAGCTGCAACATGCTCTCCTGTTGCTAGTTTGGGAAGGTATTTTGCTTTCTGAGCCTCATTTCCAGCAATCAAAATTCCCTAAAATGCAGTGGCTATGTTATGTAAATTGTCTTTCAAATATCAAACAACATAGTAGTTAATATAGGACCCACAATGCAACACAGAAAGTCGTTCGCTTACCTTCAGGCCAATGGCTTGATGTGCTGCAAGTGTGACCGCAATAGCCGCATCTAAAGAAGTGATCTCTCCTAACCTGGCATACATGGTGTTTGAGAGGCCCAGACCGCCTTGAGGAAACATGCAAACAAGCAGATCAAACTCTCTGGCGGTATATTAGAAATAGTCTCTCGTATGAGGTCAGAGGTCAGTCTCACCATATTCTTCAGGTATCTGGATCCCAAACAGCCCCAGTTCCTTCAGCCCATTTAAAGTCTCAGGAGGAATTACGGCCTCATGGTCGATCTTCTTAGAATCAACTAAAGGTGATATTTGCACAAGTACAGAAAAAAGGACATTTCTCAGTCATTTGAATAGCTGAGATCAGGTATTACAACTTTTTAAATATAACATCTAAAATTCTTCAAGAAGATTTTAAATTTCCATTGTACAAATGGAAGATTTACTTGCTTCCACTAAAGCACAAAAGTATTTCTGTTAATTATTAATTAAAGCTGCAGTCCAAACTTTTGGGGCTCTAGCGGTTAATAAACAGAACCGCATGCGTCTTGCGGAAGAACATTGTAGCCGGATCTACTTCCCTCTGTTTATGTCTATGACGAGTCACGCAGGACAGGTACTGGGCTACGCCGCAGTGGTACAACCCAAACCAGTCTAAAATAGTCTGAATATAAACACTTATAAAAGGTGCACCGAAGTGATTCAGGATAAAGACAAAAAAAAAAAAAAACGATTTGGAAAATGGTTTCATGATGTACTCGTGTATTACATAAATTTGGAACACAAAAAAAGTTACGGACTGCAGTTTTACCTAAAGTTACATTGTTATACTTTATTTGTTATGACAAATGCTGTTTTAGATGGGAAAAATGCTATTTTAAAGCTGCAGTCTGTAGTTTTTCCCCTTTGTCGCCATCTCTGTTCGAAATCTGCAATTGCAGTCATTCGCGGAATTATCAATTTCACGCGAGTTGTACTTCAACACCCTCGGCACCGCACAGCGCGGATGAATCCAATGTTTTGAGGAGAGTGTGTGGCTGTCAGTCACCGCGCCGGTGTGGATACTGGCATTCAGAATCACAGAATATACTTTTTAGAAGTATGACCAACATAATAATTTTCACCCTAAAATGTGATCTGAACAATTAAGTAACATCCACTTTTGTTCTTCTGATCAACTAACTGGAAATTGCAGTAAATCGTGCTGATTAATTCTAACGATCGCTTATCATATCACGTCAAACAGTGCAAATTATACTTTGTTCTCAAATTGTTAATGTTAACAACATCAGCATTGCGTGACTACATTTAATGCCCTTCAGATATTTATCCTTGTTTTCGCATTGGGCCCGGTTGCAGTCTCTATTTCCAAACACTCAGTCCAAAGTCTTTTCCATTTTACAATGGGTGAATCTCTAGTTGTCACTGGTGATTGTCGTTTGAACCTTTCTGGATCCGCCATCAAATTAATAAGTTTAATTATATCAAGTGCTGTGAGAAAAGGCTATAAATCTCCACCTCCAACACTCTTCTTTATGTGTACAGATGTGACATAATGACGCAAAGACATGCTCGAATTTCCCATGGAAATCCACCAGTACCACTGGAATTAAAAACATTATTACAAGCTTACCGTTTTGAATCGAGCTAAGGCAAGCAGATAGTTTTGAACACTGGCTGGTTATGTATTTTCTCAAATTATTTTGAATAATTTTTAACCTAAAAAAGTTACGGACTGGAGCTTTAAACAAGTGGACTTGATTAACAAGTGGACACAAGATTAAAGTATGTTAGTATAATATAATACAACAAAATATATGTACAGAAAGCTCACAATAAATAGACACAAGCACAATAAGTATGCTTGCTTTGTACCCACCATCTTCACTGAAAAACTTCTCCACAGGCTGTACAAGTTGGTTCATCTCCTCTAATTCTTCATTGCTGATTTCTGGGTAGGGAAAGACTTCAGCCTGAAAGATGTATGCATTATTTTTTATGTAAAATCAAAGTCTTATCCAGAATATTTAACCAATATATGTATGTATATATATATCGCTTTCCCCCTGCTTAAGTGCTCAACATTTAAATAGGTATGTCAATTATGAAAAAAACTAATTATTCTGCATTTTGTTTACATTACCTTGTTTACTTTGCCCAGGAACAGATCTTTAGCATATGCCAAACTCCTCGCACTGGATCTAACGGAGCGCCGCGACTGAAAGCGATGTAGACAATCTCCAGTTTTCGCGAGTCGTGCAGCGAACAAATTTCTCCCAAGCTTGACCGTACTTGTCAAAAGAGTAAGTTTGTTCAGGCCCATCTTTAACGTGAACACTCACCCTGATCACCCTACGACTGTCTGAAACACCTTTCACCCATTTTCGTCTCACATTGATGACGACACGAGTCTATAAGGGTGCAGTTCTTTTTATGCCCTGCAGATGTCAGTGTTTAGCTGCAATACACATATTGTTATTCATTTCGATGCTGAGTGAAAATTTATCGTGAATTCCCACTAGTCACTGAATTCATCACAATTTTTGCTCCGATTTATGTGGATTTCATGCGTTCAAATATTATTAAAAAACAAACAAACAGAAATTAGTTGTTCCGTGGTTCCCTTTCATTGCAGTCCTTTTCTAGACAGCGACCCAGTGTTGTTGGTGTTGACAATGAGGATTTAGCCCTCAAAGCTGCTCTATTTATAGCCTACAGCAAGCCAGACAGACAGACAAAAAGGGCACAGTTCCCTTTCTCACCACCTGTCTGTAGGTCACAGCGTCACACACGCATAAGAAACAGTTTATCCAGACATTCACAACTCTGAATTCACAACGCATGTAGAGTTTCTTCACGAAAACATGAATCTTGAAGCTTTCAGCCTTATCTTTATTACAAATATAGCCTACTTCCATTCAAAAGTCTGGGGTTGGTTTAAAATTTTAAATATATATATTTTTGAAACCTCTTATGCTCACCAATAATGCATTTATTTGATCAAAAATGCAGTAAAAACAGTACAATTGTGAAATATTATCATTAAATATCATCATAGTTTCAAATAACAGTTTTCTATTTTAATAGATTTAAAATGTAATTTATTCCTGTGATAGCAAAGCTGTATTTTCAGCATCATTACTCCTTCAGTGTCACACGATCCTTCAGAAATCATATGCTGATTTGGTGTTCAAGAAACATTTATTATGATCAATGTTGAAAACAGTTGTGCTACTTAATATTTTTTGTGGAAACCATAATACACTTTTTTCAGGATTCTTTGATGCATAGAAAGATCAAAAGAACAGCATTTATTTGAAATAGAAATCCTTTGTAATATCATAAATGTCTATCAATGTGTCCTTGCTGAAAAAATTAATCTAAAAAAAGATCTTTATAGTTTTTTATATATTTTCAAAGCATGATGTCTTAATATGTCTAATTCAGCAGCGTATAATGCAAGATTTCTGTTCCAATTGCAGTACTCACCATGAGTTTGTCATTCTCAAACAAAGATATTAAGAAACTCCAGCTTAAAAGCGTTTATAAAGAGTACTGAGAAGACTAAAAATAGGTTAGAATGAGAAAGACTGTTGCAAGGATTCTGAGAACCACCAAACCTTTCTTAAAAGCACAACGTTACACAACGACCTTGCTGACTCAAACATACTTTTATGTTGAATTCAGCAAAGGCTTTGGAGAGTTTTGAAGGCTAGTTCTAATGCCTTATATCTCACTATAAGAGTTTATTAATTTTGAGAATCCACAGAAAATGCTAAGGACATGCATTCAAAATGATTTACATCAACATAATGTGTGCTTTAATGCAGAACAATACAGGTTTATGGTGTATTGTTTTATTTCATGTTCTCAACATGGTCACAGTTATAGTTAAACATCAATAGGGTCTCGTCATCTACTTAAAAACAGAATGTATATTAAAACCATAGTTCTCCTCTCCTCATTTGGTAGTAAAAAAGAAAAGAAAAGAAATGTATGTTTGAGTGGACGCACATGAAAGGCGGTGAGAGTCATGTAACAGTCGGCTTAATAAAGAAGATCCTATGACAAATTCAATAAGTACATTTGGTAGCAGAAGCAGTGTCATGTTAATATGAGTCTCTTTAAGGTGGAAAAGGACTACACCGTCAATGCGATGGCTGAACGAAAAACAAAAAAGTATAATACAGACTATGTACATTTCAAACAAACCGCCAACACTTATACTTTCCCTTTATCATCCATAATAGATTTCTATATGATATGCTTTTTTTTCTTCTAATTTCTCACATTGGTTTGTGATATATACAGCAACAGGCTTTTTATAGAAAAAAAAACAGAAGTGTAATGATCTTTTTAGGGAGTAAACAAATGATACACATGCCGAGATGCAGTGGCACACAATAAAATGTAACAGCAAGCCAACATCACAAACAAAACAGAAACAAACAATAAAACCAACCAATCGAACAAACAAAAGATGAGAAAGAACATAATAAAAAGAAAGCACATTTCTTCATTTTTAAATAAGCTCACATTTCAACCAGAGGTGCTGGGCATCAGCTGCATGCAACGCTTTGTGACGTTTTGACTTGACCGTCCAGTACTATACCGTACAAAGCTGAAGCACCACATTTACAAATACACTGCACTGAAATCCATAAAAAACATTCAACACAAAGGTGAAAAAAACGAGAGAAAAAAAAAAAACATACAAAAAGACTCTGTCTTGACAGCTCTCTGATTTTATGGTCGGTTGTTTAGTCAGAAATGGCTTCGGGTGATCGCATTGGTACACAGAGATGGACTGTCCTAGTCTGATTAATGTTGTACTGTACTGTACAAATTGCTGGCCTCGGTGCATCTTGGGAACAAGCCAGGTGTTATGAAGTCTGATAATGACATAGACACGGATTTATGCTCTATTATCCGTAAGCTCCTATTACTATATGGACGTGCCCTTGCGGCACTTCATTACGATTAGGCTACCGGCTAATATTTTCCTTTATAAACTATTTGACGATCAGTGTTTAATTTTTAAGCCCAGATAAACAATAAACTGATGTCTCCTAATTGATTCTATTTTGGTGCGAAACAGGATAAAGAGGTTTTGAATGAAGAGAAGTCTACAGATTTTAATATGTTCATCATCATCATCATCACTCATTTAACAACGGTCAACTGTAACACTGATAATATCTCTGGAAATATGCAATATCTAGAGAATATTTTGTACAATATACATGCAAGAGTACTTTAGCTGACATTCCTGACTGTAGGTTGCAGGTAAAACAGAGATCAGGGAGAACAAGTTGTCGGTGTGGGCGAGAAACAATATGGGGTCAGACGTAGGCTATATGATGTTGGAAATATGATATAACAAAACCAAACAAACCAAACAACTGGTTGAAATTCTGAATTTACAAAACCGAAACATATATATTGCACATGATTAGTTTAAAAAAACAAACCAAAAAAATCAGAAAAAAGAGAAACAACGCACAGCATATGTCGTATAACTGCTGACACCGGTCTCGTATAAGAGAGCGAGCTCATTTCAGCCGTGGTTTCTGTACATTAAGTGATTATTTACAAAGACAAGTGCTGTTCAGAAGCTCTGTGCTTGAGTTAAAAGAGCGTCAAAACGCAAAACGAATACATCGAATCACAGCTCCGACACCATTTATCTACTTACAGTACAAAACAAGTCAAAAGTTGAACCAAGAAAGGGGATATGTGTGAAAAAACATGTTCAAATCCGTTTCGAGTGAGAACACATCCATCCGACCCACTGCTACATATTATATGCAGTTTACATTACATTAGATTACATTACATTAGCTGTGTTTCTGAGCAAGTGAAAGGCATTCTCACAGGAGGACAGAAGAATATGTATCAAATCTACTTCATTTCCACACAGAAGAGGGCACACGCTCAGCCTGCTGAGAAAAATCTACATCTCTGCACAAACTAAGCTTTTAAAATATGGGGAGAGAATTCGATCAGCCTGCTTTCCTCCGACACAAACACTACCCCTAATGTTAGACGTCAAAATAGCCTTTTCATTGCACCGGCTTTGCCATAAACATCTTCAAATGTACATTTGTTTCATATTGTTTTATTCATCTCTAAAAAAATAGTTAAAAAAATAAAAGCATGTTGCAGCAGTGGCCGGGACCGATGAGTCGAGGCCGTGGAGGATCCATCAGTGAGCTCCCTTGTTCCGCCCTCCCCCTTCCCAAAGTCCCTGTGATTGGTTTGCGCTACGTAGATCCCAAAGGAGGTGGTGCGAACACAAGCCGGAGATTCCGGGAGAATCTTCCAACTCCAAGGCAACCAATGATTTCCACGTTGTTCAATTGGCCACCTACTGAGTTCAGTATCAGTGAAAACTAGTAACTCCTACGTCGTGAGTACACATAGAATACTGAGATTTTATCTGAGGCTTCGGATCATTTTTGTTCTATACCAATAATAACAATAGCTGCTAATATTATTATTATTATTATTATTATTTGACAAAATACTATATGTACGACATACACAAAGCAAATCTTTTTTCTTTTCTTTTTTTTCTGATTAACTCAGTCACTGCTTTTTAATAATTGGCACGTTATAGTCCCCTAACTATATCACAGAAATGTGTGGTCTACAGCTACATTAAATACTGGAACACCACTCGTTTTGACTGACTTCGACAGACTGTTATCTCAAACCGTTGTTCTAGCAAAAACATAGTTTCTGCAAACTAATAAGCAGGCTATTTGTTAATGCATTTAGGTAATTAAGTACAAGAAAACAGTTGCCACGGTCTTTTGCGCATGCTTTTGCTTCACCGCCAGAGTCGAGAAGGTTGAGAGTCTCTAAAATGGAGCCTAAAAGAAGAAGCAGCAGCAGCAGCTTTGTCTGGGGCTCTACAGCTGGAGCAATGACTGGTAAGAACTGATGATTTGAGTTCTAGCCGCCCCAGAAGGCCAGTGCTACACATTGTGGCTCCCTTTCCCAGAGGAAACGGGCGCTGGATGAGTTAAACGTGAGTCAAGGTGCCCTTTTTGTTCATGTCCTGGTAGGCAGCAACAATCCGTTTGCACGTTACAATCTAAACAGAGGCCCAACAGTCAGCCCGCTAAAAACGGTCCCATTCCCAAGAGGAAAGAGTTTGCGGAGGGGCTCAAACCACAGTGCTGATGCCGCTGTGTTTGGGCTTGGTGCTGCTGGCCGCCGGAGGAGGAGCCGGAGGCTGGCTGTGGTGGTGAGGTGCATGCTGGGAGTGGGTGGGGTGCGACAGGTCTCGGTGCGTCCCGTGGCCGTGGGGGCCATGCGAGTGGCTGTGAGAGGAAGAGGGGCCGGGCGTGGGGTGGAACTGGTGGGGAGGGTGTTGAATGTGCGCTGGGGGGTGGTAGTGATGGTGGTGGTGGTATGGAGGGGGGTTCTGCATGTGGCAAAACTGAGCGTGGTGGGGGTGCATCTGGGCTTGGGTCTCAGTGACAGTGACGACATCACGGGCCGTGTGGTGCAGGTTGATAGGGTGCGGGGTGTGAGAGATGAGTGTTGGGTGGGAGGGGTGGGAGGACTGGGTAGCCAGAGAGGGCGACTTGCCCCGCTTGGTGCCGAATATGGAGCCTAGGAGAGAGGAGGAGTTGGGGATGGACTGCTGGCGGGAGGGGCAGTCGCGGCTGGAAGTGGCTCGGCGCCGTATGTGGGGGCTGCTAATGATGGACCCCTGCGGGAGGACGAGGGAGAGAGAAGAATGGAAAAGTTAAACACGAGATGTGTACTGCATGCTCAATGAGTCAACAGTTCCATTTATTATATATTTCACATTTTGCATTCTGAACGTTTAAATGTTAGGTTGATTTAAATGTGTAATTATTAGGGTTGGGAACCAATCCATTTTTCTATTTAAAAAACAAACAAACAAACAAACAAACACCACCAATGATTTTCATGTTAATGGTTCTTGAATGTCCATATCTTTGGACCAGCATAGTCCAGTTCATTAACAAATGACTCTTATAAGCCAGTTCATTTTATTAAATCATTAAAAGGACTTACAAATGAGTTCTGGACCCATGAGTTATTGGTTTTAATCAGTCTAATGGCTCGCTCACTGAATAAATCGATTTGATTCTTGAACTGAAGTCATTACTTTTGTCATGTCCAAATCAAGAAGAACCATAAACTGTTACTGTGGCACTTAAATCAGTGGAGTTATTGACTAGTTGATTATAAAGCAATGTGTAGTTAAAGACACATTCAGACCAGAGCTTTGACATAATAAAATGCACTTTAATTATTAATAAAAAGCATTGAAATGTAACTAAAAAGTTTTTGTTTAGTATATTTGTTGGAAAAAAGGGACCAAATGTTCTTAATATACTAAAAAAATTGTTTCAATCAATGTTTCAATAAAAGAATGCAATCAATAAGGAACTGGAACCATCCAGTAGATTCAGAATCAAATTAAGTGCAATTCAATTCAATTCTTTATGATTCCCATCCCTAGTAATTAAATATTTCATATATTTTAAGTCACAGAACAGAAATACCCTACAAAAGTTTGGGGTCTTGTTTAAGATGTTTTAAATATTTTTGATAGTCTTATGCGCACCGAGGCTGCATTTATTTGACCAAAATAAAGTAAAAACAGATAAAATAACGGTTTTATATAGTTTAAAATGTAAGTTATTCCTGTGATGGCAAAGCTGTATTTTCAGCATCATTACTCCAGTCTTCAGTGTTGCATGATCCTTCAGAAATCATTCTAATATGCTGATTTGCAGCTCAAGAAAAATGTCTTATAATTATCAATGTTCAAAACAGCTGTGCTGCGTTAATATTTTTGTGGAAACAGTGATTTTTTTTGGGGAAGGGGGGGAAACTCTCTGATGAATAAAAAGTTTGAAGGAACAGCATTTATTTGAAATAGGAGTCTATTGTAACATTGTAAATGTCTTTACTGCCACTTTTAATGCATCATACAAGTTTCTTTCAAATTCTTAAAAAAATGTTTTACCGACCCCAAACATTTTGAACAGTACTGTAATACAGACCAGAAAGTTAATTCCCCAAATAGTATCACATAAAAGATAAAAGTACTCAAAATTCATTCCTTTTATGTCAAACAAGGACCCAGCACTCAAGCAATGCATCATGATCATCCATCAGCAGTTAATGCATTTATAAAAGAAGCAGATCCCTGAAAGCCATGCATTACATGCAAAAGCTGGAACAGGCAAGATTGAGTTAGTCAGCATTTAGTGATGTTAAAGCGAGCATATGGGCATTCTTGCATTCTAGGATAGGCTGTCAATCAAACAGGCACATGTGATAACCTATACGGACTAAATGGATGGGAATCCAAATCCAGTCTGTTACAGCATCGATCCTTTGCTATACTCCCTCGTGTTTATTATGCTTATCTGCACACAGATGGGAAACGATTTCGAGGCATTCCAAAAGGTAAGAGGTGCTTTAGGGCTGGAGAGGAAGAGGTCAAGTGGTTGGAGGTCGGTGAGGAAATGAAGACTTGCACTTTTTGAAGTACTCTAACAGAACACTATTGTTCACTTGCAGCTGCCAAGTGAAACATGCCATCAGGAATCAAATAAAACATTTTACAAAGGAAAAAGGCAACGCAGCCCACTGTACGTGACATGGGATGTTTGCATTAGTTGAGTCATGCTGACTAAGTTGGACCGTGGAGATGTTATGATATGTGATGTGAGCCACGGGGGCAGAATTGCCCGTCATTCCACATAAGCTCCACAGGAACAGGCAGCTCATGCATGCAGGGTGGCCTACTTAGTCCAAAAACAACAACACCACACACATACAGATAGTTGAAACTACTGAGCAAAGAAGCAACCAAAAAGAAAAAGATGGAACAGACCAGAGAAATAAATAAATAAACAAAGCAAAGTTGCAGTTTCAAAATGCAACATTGTCACACAGAATAGTGGCCTGTTGTAGGTTCTTGCATCCTATATCACGGTACTTACTTCCATATTGCTGTCTAGAGATCCTGCACTGCTGCGGCGCCCCCGCTTGCCTGAGCGAGACATGCAATATGATAGATTAGAGCGCGCTCGAACAGTCAGATTTATAGAGGCGCATGTAGAAGCGTAAATATATCCTGCCTGCCCACAGGGGCGCTATTGAGACATGAAGCAAGCAGCCGTAGTCTGAAAAGGGAGGGAGGGTAGAGCCAGGTGGGTCGGGAGCTTTTAAAGGGCCAGAGGATGAGGGTATACTGGTCCTAACATCAAGAAGCACAGTACAGCTACATCTTCAACAAGTGTCTTAAGCAAACTGGGTTTTGATGACTACAAGCAAACTGAAGATTCCTATTAGAGCTGCACGATATACCAAATTAAAATTGAAATGCAATGTAATTAAGTAAATATACGCGCTACCGGCTCCAGAGCGGCAATGCTCATCCACATGATACAGAGCTTCACCCGACCACGAGCTGCCCACAATCAAACTGGATTGAATTCAATTGAATGGAATAAAAGCTTGATGGTTTAATGTTTGAAAATGAAAAAATTAAGATATAAATATTAGTATTACAATATATTTCTTATTTTGTTTAATATATCACTTAATAATAATCACAATAATTATTATTTTATATTGAATTGGTCAAAAAACAGTGGGAATGTGCCCTGCAGACTTAAAGATATATATTGTTTAAACCAAGTAAACCCAAGTGAAAAAAAGAATAGTTCCCACAAAAAAAAAAAAAATTCTTCAGGAGTTTTCCAGCTTTTTCCACCAAAAAACATTTTCCAGCTTTTTAAATAATTTTTTATTTTGCAATCTCCAACAAAATCACCCCACTCGTTCTAATTATTATTTTAAATATCGCAACGTCAGTTTTTTTCCAATATCGTGCAAGCCCTAATCCCTACACTAAATCACAGAAGCAACTGAAAAAAAAAAAGAAGCAAAAACAGTAAAAAAAAAATCATTATCGTTTTTGATGTATGGTCAAATACAAATGTGGCAGCTCAGACTAGCAGTATGAAACAATCGTCAATCTGAAATAAGTATTGAATGACAGAATGACAATGTTAGCAGAGCTATCAACTTCTATACACGTAGATTCTTCTTAATACATTATTATACAGTACAAGACACTGCGCACATTTTCAGTGCTGTACAGGATTGCTGGAATGGGATATTCATAGCTTTTCCAGATATCTCTGTTTCTCATGTGTAGTGTCTCCTGTCGTCAGACTCAACGACCAGCTTGGTCGAGTTCAATTCACACTTACGGAGTGTGACTACGCTGTGAACTGATTGTTCTAACAGAGAAGGCATGTGAGGTCACACTTCACACTATCCATTTTTTTCCTGTGTAGTGACTGCCATGTTTAGGGCTCAAAAGCATCTGCTGAATAGAGTGAGAAGATATCACAGCTCGCAAATTGTGTGAAGGTTCAATTATAGAGTGGGAAAAACGAATGTGGAGGATAATATTTGTCAGGATGCTTCTAGCGTCATTAGCCATGGCGAAGGACATTCATAACAGGGCTGGGTGATATAGGGTTATGTTTTTCATCTAATGTTTATATTTTACTTCAATTACCGAAAACAATTTTCAATCATTTTGGTTTTAGTTAACAATAACAACACTGGTAAAAATAAAAAATAAAATAAATAATCAAAGCATGCTTTCCCAATACTGATTTTCACTAGACAAGGACCATGAAACTAGTCAAAATGACAAAGTCTTTAGAATAACTAATGGTCCAATAAGAATACATTAAACAAATCAAATTATTAATTTTAAATGGGCAATAAAATCCTGTGAAGGTTTGATATATCACCCAGCTCTAATTAATAAATAATTGAGGCTACACTAATGGTTGTGGACAAACACCAATTTAGAAGCAAGCATTCAGCGCTCTACTTTGGCAAGAGGCGAAGTATTGTTTGGACAAGACTGCACAAAATAATCAGAGGTTGTGACAGATAAAGCCAGAAGCACATCATGTCATGTGGGTCTGTACACTCACCTGCATCTGAAAGGTCACGTAAGGAGCTGCTGAGGGCACTTCTCTTGAGGCCTTCACCTATGGCGTAGCTGTCATCCAGACTGGTGCGACTCAAGTTGCCATTTCCTGTGTCTTTCTTTAGACCGGAGCTCTGGGAAATGCTGGGACGGACCACACCTTTTTGCTTCTCCAGTTCAGCTGTGAAAAAAAACACCATATCAACATCACTGATCATGTTATTTATTTCACATGTCATTTTACTTCAACGCACCGAATATTAGACAAGCACCACATTGTTTAAGGCCCATATGACTTTCTTTCGTGGACTATCCTGGTCACTCTTTTCCAACATAATGAAAGTGAATGAGAGCCGCTTACACTCTATTCTGTACTTCTCCATCTCCTGCACCTCTGCGATGGACTCCCGCAGGTCATCTGTGAACTTCTTGCGGTCTTGCGGGTTGGGGGCGTTGAAGTTAATGAGAACCTTAATGTCTGCGCCTGGAAGAGCTGAAGTGAGACGCACTCCATTGGGGTAATCTGAAAAGCAGCAGCGGGAGGGGAATATTTACAGACTGGCGGATCATGACAGCACTCAGACGTGCCCTTTTCAGAGGGACAGGCTAATCGATATTCTCACATTTCGCAATCGCATATGACAGATATTTTAATCTTTTTGTGGGAGAATACATCCTAATACACAATACTTTGAGAATTAATTTGTTTTCGATCAAAAGCATTTCGTGAGCTTTAACACCTGTTTCGTGTTTTCCTGTGCAGTGAAAAGCCTGGTTTTTACATGACACGCCAGCACGAAAGTGAAAGCGTGCAATCAAACTGTATGAAAAAGGTTAAACATAGTCCAGAAAAGGGTAATATGGGGTCAAAGGGGCTTTGACCCTTCGCTGAGGGTACTTACACTGGTTTTCAAACAGAAGCACCTGCATCCCATAAAGAGAGAAGGACTGCCTGAAGCTGTACGTCACCGAATTCTTCTTCTTCTGGAAAATCTTAGTGACCTGAATCAAAAGCAGTCACATTAGGACTCCATCTGTTCCTAATTATCTTCTCTTCTCTTTGAGCCTCCGGAAAAGCTGAGTAACACTTTCTGACTGTCATGATGTACGCTTACTAACCTAGAATTGGGCTAAAAATGTCTTGCTGACCATTACACCATCATAACAACAAGAACATAACAACATAACAAAAGATGCTATGATGTACAGTAAGACTGTTCAGTCTCATTTTTTCCTGTTGTTATGTGTCCTGGTTTTGTGTCATGGGCTATGATGTGTGTGCTTTCTTACCACCAAAAGGTCATTGAACAGGAAGATCTCTCTCTGGTGGAGACCCAACTTCTGAGGTTTGTTAGGGTCCGGCACTTCGAACAGCCTGCAGTAACATACCAGCCTGCGATGTGGTAGGGACAGCACCTGTATGTGGGCAACAAATATCGCTTAGCCCGAACCTGGTCCATAAATGAGATCCTGGACATGTTCAGAATATAATTAATATAAAGTATTGTTGCAGTATATAGTATGTACTTATATACTGTACTCTGCAAATTTTCTGTATGTATATAATAACCAGATGACACTGGCTAAAAAAGCAGTATACTATAGAGCTTACTGCATAGAAAACTGTATCCCAAAATGCAATGCACTCGACCTGACCTGCCATTACCAGTTCCAACATTTTTAACATGTTTTTCCTGATTTGTTATTTGACCAGACTGTCAAATTATACAAAATTTTTTTAAATTAGGTAAAAACAATTAGGACAACAATGTAGCATAATATTTTTAAATGTGGAAAATATTTTTTAAGAAATCGTAGATGGCATACAGTATACACTATATACTAGTATGCAGTAACATAAAATAGGTATAATCATTGATTTTCTTTAATAATACATTTTTAAAATATTATTTATTTATTTCAACCCTCCAACCTACTACATTATACTTGAAAAACTGACCATAATGAAGGATACTAGTTGGAAATGTGGAATAATCCTTATTGTTTCACTTATTATTTTAGAAAAAAAACAGCAGGTAGTATACAGTATATAGAATAAATCATTTAAGTTAGTAACATAAAATAGATATAATAATTATTTGGTTTAATTTCATAATATAATTTTTTATTTTATTAAACCATTTATTTGATTAAATAATATTTATTTATTTCAAACCTCCAACCTACTACTTTATACTTCAAAAAGAGTCCAAAAACTAAAAAAAAAATCATTTCAAAAAATCATCATTTTTGTAACTATAGTTATCAGATTTAAACTGTTGAATGGCATCAATAGAATAAAAAAAAAGTGAACGTTATACTTACACATCCAAGGCCATGGTGCAGAGAGCCAATCTGAAAAGAGGAAAAAATGAGACGGATGAGTAAGAATCATAGCGAGAAGACTGAGGGGAGGCTTGAAGGTCAGAGAGTGGTCTCTCTCTCTCGTTATTAAGACCCCCTCCGTCTACCTGTCAGATGTGAGCTGTACTGTATGAATGGGGTGAGAAGAGAGGTTAATGAGGAGCCAAACTGCTGCTTCTTGAAACTGTGACAGGAAGTCTCGGCCCATTTTGAGAAACCTAATTACAGCACCCGAGATGCAGTGTCTGCAGGCAGGGGTCTCAGGCACAGCAGCCTTCTATCTGAGCTCCACAGGAGATCTCCATAATGTCCTCTCCAAAGATGTGTGGAAGATACACCAGGGAGAAGGCTTTCCTGGCAACTAAGTCATGTGTGCCATTTCCATTACAGCTTAAATGTTAATTATTTCAGCTCTGAAAACCCACAGTGCTTCCAAATTCAACTGTGTGACAGGCATGAAGATGCAACAGCTTCAGTTAGTTTATCCTTGGGAGAGACCAACTCTGTTGGAGGGATGATGTATATTGTACTTATTTTGAACACTTGAACTACCTGAACACTTTTCTTAAGATACCACTCTCCAGATGTACATCCATCAAGCTAACAGACTTTAGTTAGGGTAGACGCGTAAACTCTAGTGGTCTAACAATCTACATGCTTTTATTAGAAATCAACAAAGACAAGGACACATTCAATTGATCAAAAGTAACAGTAAAGACTTTTATAAGATTTCTATTTCAAATAAATGCTGTTCTTTTCCACTCTATATTAAGCAAATAATCCCGAAAAGCAATATAATAATAAAATAATGCAATATATTGATAAAAAATACATTTAATTCAAAAATCGATTTTATTATTAATCATTCAGCCAAAAAAAACCCCAAACTTGTCTATCATTTTCATTATGCATCACATTGAACATGTTTCCTCCTCTGAATAATTTCTATGGTTGTAACTCGCTGTACTGCAAGAAAAGGTGGTTGAGTTCAGAGCAGGTGAACTGTCAGTAGATTTCATCTTTAGAGAACTCTGAAGGCCTCTGTGGAAAAGCAAATCCCATTTATCACTGCAGAGCATCACGCAACCCTTCCCACATGACTTACATGCATGCACAGACACCACAGTCAGATACCGTGAAGGTCTTGAGATATTAGATCTGTCATAAAGGAGAACATCTTGTAGATAAAGAACCTTCTCAGAGTCTCAATGTCATGTGCCTATTGAGGACAAAAAAAAGGTGACTGACAGAATGATTAAACCTATAGATCTACACTGCATAGAGTGGCGAAAGCATACAAACACACAAAGGCCTTGGATCATTTCACACCAGCAGACCATGACTGGAATCGATAAAGCGTCATTTCTAGAACTGGGGTCAATGTAAGTTCACAACATGATGGATAGAGATGGACTGCTCCTGCAATGAAGGCACTGCAAGTTACTTTGGATAGAAGTGTGGAAGACAAAAGTGACCATGACACTCACCGGCTTCTTGCCAACAATGAGTTTCTCCACCTTCTGCACCTGGGACACGTGGTCTTCGTTTGTCTTAAGCTCTCGTTTCCGGATTCGCTCATAGATGCCCACCAACATCTCTCGAGGGATGTCCTCGCCATCATCCACCCCTATGCACAGGAAGCGCAAACAAAAGCCCATGGATAATTAGGGCACGTCAATGATTTACGGAAATTTTAGGAAAGAATTTGAAAGGTAGGTTAAGCACATTTGAAGCACATTGTGAATATATTAACATATCTTAAAGTTAAAGGTGAATCTCTGTTTGCTTTGCTCCAATTATTATGCAAGGTTGTGACCAGAAAGATGTCATTGCTATCCCAATGAGACCATTAATCAGTTTAAAGCACATGTATCAAGCTTAATTTGAGCACATTTAAGTATTCTCTTCTGTAGTATAACACCTCTGAATGACTTTAAAGGGGAAAATATGGATGAAATAGATTCTGTTTGCAGTGTAATGCGTGTAATGTGAATCTCACCGCGAAGGTTCTTTACAAAGTCCTCCAGTTTCATCTTCCTCTCCGGCTTCACGTTTGGGCTGTACATGTCCGTGTTGAGGAGTATAATGGCAAACGCCAGGATGAAGATGGTATCTGGGTTCCTAAACTGACGCACCACCCCCGGGTTGCAGATGCAGTAGCGCTGACTGAATGGAAATAAAAAACAACAGCAAATGAACAAAGTGAAACATTAATATGAGACGCCACTTCCACAGAATCAATAGTTGCTCCGGTGAGTAATTGGTTCTGGATGCACTAGCATGACCAGAGAATGGTAAAACTGCCACCGTGGTAAAGAGCTATGTTCTCTTAGATAACACTTGAATGGACTTTAAACAGTTCATTCGGAAAGAATATGTCTGGCTGAAAGGGTTTAGCTATAACAATATTTTTTGGGTCTGAGGGTGGTGAAGGCAACCGTCGGAGTGATCTTCGCACTCATTGTAAGCTGGTGTGATCACTCAAATGACAGACAGTCCTTGAGATCCGATCGAACAATGTTCTCTGAGGGCTGAGGGAGTGTATTATGCTTTTGTGTTGGTGCGATCTAATGAATGCCAAGAAAACAAACTATCCTAGAGACTTCTTACTGGAATGGATATAAACAAAATTGAACTTTAAAGCCATTTTCATTGTGTAATCACCAAGCTTCTCTTAAAGGGACAGTTCACACAAAAATTTAAATTCTCTCATTCTTTATTCAACTTAATGTCAGTCCAAATCCATATGACATGTCAATGGGCACATTTTAGGTGAATATCCTGTCCACTCTTTTCAATAAAATGAACATTAACGCTGAGGTTGTCAAGCTCAAAAAATGTCAAACAAGCCTCATTTAAGTATTATAAAAGTAGTTCATATGACTCATGAGCTATATTCCACATCTTCTGAAGCAATATTGTAGTTTTGTAGAGGAGCAGACCGACATTTGCGTCATTATCCAATGAAAATCTTGATTTCCACACTATCTCTTTGGGATTCATTACAAAATATTATTTTGATCATAAATCTTTTTAATAAATCATTTGAGCCAGTTCACAAAACAGGTCTGAATGAGTCATTCACAAATCAGACGGATCTAATTATACCATTTTAGAATGACATGAGTGATTTTATTTTTGGGTGAACTATCCCTTTAATTATGCTTTTTTTTGGTAACACATTAAAGAATCAATTGAATTGTTTTTCACCTGAAGGCTTCAATGAGTCGCTCGACCTTCTGTGCCTCTCCCTGCACCCGGATATGTGCCTGGAATTTTCTCAAGGCTTCATCCAGCTCCATTCCAGAGAAATCCATCTCATCTACCACACAGCTGGAAAAAAGATAATGAACAGAGTATTCAAAGAACTGCCGCCTTCTTTCCTACACTACAGTATATTCGTGATGGTGTATTCAATAATGGTTTGGAAATCTTCTAGACAAAATTACATTCTATTCCATGCATTTTATCACAGCAAACATGAAGATAGTTTAAACTGAGAGTGGTCATTGCTTTTAGTCAAATTTAGTCTTTCAGATAAAAGCAAGTTCTATCAGTCTCTAAATCACAATCGTGGGGCATACAAAGCAAACTGAGGGACATTTTGCTCCAGGGATACTCAGCGTCCATTTAATCTGGCATGTCTAGATTTACTGATTTTAAGGAAGTGCCTTTTAAAAAAAAGTGCTGTCAGACGGAGCTGAACACAGACTGCATGGCTTTATCTGTCCCTATTATCTTGACAGTTACTTTCAGACTGAAAAGGGAGGATGAGTTAACTTAAGAGTGAAAATGAGTTGATTCATTCTCAGGCACATGGTGTCTGAAAAGTACGAACCCAGACACCTCAGTCAATATATACAGTATAAAGCAGAGTTAGAGTCCATATTTCATCCATCTCTTACATTTTAATCCCAACAGAGGTCGCACGTGGAAATGGCTGCGTATTATATTTGAAATAACTTGGCTTTGTAGTATATCTCACTTTGGATGATTATTTTTTTAATACAATACACCCAATTAACCCAGTAAAATTTTCCGAACCTACTCAAGAACATCTCTGTTGAACTGTTTCTGCCTGTTGCCCAGGAACTCGCCAATCATCTGTCGACTCAGCCCTTTTCTCTGTAACAGGAAATGGGCAACTCCCACAGGTGTGTCTGGGACAAATCCTCGCTCAATCAGGTATTGGATGCCTTTTTCAGGTTTCCTAGAGACAATAAAAGAAGATCAAGAGTTTGAACAGTGCATTTACTGGTCCCAATGTGTGACTAAGCAGCTCTTAGATCAAGTACGTTCTTGTGACTGAACCATTACCACACAAGATTAAAAGGAAAGTAATGGCCCAGTGCAAAGACAGGCAAATCCACCATCATCTAAGATTAGAGGCCCCTTTAAAGCAAAGCTTTAAATGAACAAACACACACACATACAGGCATATAAACATGCACAGCCCAGCAGTTTAAATCAAAGACCTTAATCTGTTCAATAAAAAATGAAATCTGATTTGAAATACCTCATGATTGCAAAATAAATGATCAACCCCTACACTTTTTTAAGAAGCTTAAAAAAAGAATTACATTCGTTTGTTTTAAGTACACAGAGTAAGATGGTAAACTGTGGTTGTGAGGACAGTGTGCTTTCCTTGATCAGCAATGCTCTCATCATGGTTCTAATTGCTTGATCGCTAATCAAATTTAGAACACTGAGTGGCAATCAAACAGACAGCACCACATGCATGCACAGACACGTACTGAATAAATAAACGCGCCAAAATTATAATGACTGTCTGGAAAATGACTACTGTGCATTGTGTGCTTGGTTTAGATGATAATTAAAAAAAACAGCTATTAACACAGCTCCGACTGGTGCTAATGAAAATCATTACTCAATACAACTGAAACATGACCCTCCAAACCAAAATTATGTAAGCGGTATGGGAATGAGGAGCATAATTTTTGCCGGTAGTGAGGTGCGTTCCTGTAGTTAAAATAGTAGAGCATGGTGGTCAAAAATCATAGGTGTGATCCCTTGAATGTAAATTGCTTTGGATAAAGACATCTGTCAAATGCATAATTGTACCGTTTAAGGTTTACAAAACGTGTAAAGTATAATAGAATTGAATGTCAGCAACAATTCATATAACGTAATGTGCTAACAAACTTTTAGCTGTGTCAGAAATATTATAACAAAGAAGCAAAGGTGAACGTGAGTGTGGGCATGACACAAAATATGATAGTACAATAAAATGTTGGGTAATGCATCATTATCTCTAAATGATAGAGTAGACATTTTTTTAAACACTTTTTGTTATACTGGTTGAAACTTTTCACATCCTGAAAGCAATCAATAATAGAAGTGGTCTAAATATTAAAACATGTACAGTACAAATATCTTCTGTGGAAGTCTCAGAACCAAAAAATGTTATCCTACCTGCCTGTTAACATGTATTTCCATACCTCTGCGCACCCTGCTCGCGCAGACATCACACATCATCAGCGCGCTCCGTAATGCTATGCACAGTTGTAGACAGTCAATCGAGTGCCGCAAACAAACAGCAGTTTGTTACAGTTCCTCCTGAACCAAAACAATGAGCTTATGCTGCGTTCACACCATGCCATCTAGCTTGCTATTGCTAGCCTCTCCGAAATGGCCTACCTTACCTTTAAATGTGAAGGGTGTTCAAAATGTCTTTATACTAATGTATCGCTCTTGTAACTGTATGGAAATTAGTTAAAGGTGCAATGTGTACAAATTTTGAGTATCTATTAACAGAAATGCAATATGACATCCATAACTATGGTTTCAGTGGTGCATAAAGAACTTACTTAATAAACCGTAATGTTTTTATTACCTTAGAATGAGACATTTATATCTACATAACCGCGGGCACCCCCTTCTATGAAGGTCGACATATTGTGACGTCATGTTTCTACCGTAGCCGACAGCGAACAAACAGCGCTACAGAGTGCGTTTCATCTCTACCTTGAAAGTGAAGCAGCAGAAAGCTAAAAGCTAGCCATAAACACCGTGAGTAGTGACTTTTCCCTTGTCAGTGGTGTAAAATATGTAGTTGGATTGTTTCATGTAACTAAGTTATTCTCCCTCGCTGTGTTATGGCTTTGCTATGTGGGGATAAATGTGCTGGTTACGTTCGTGAGACAGCTGATTAGTACTCTTGTCATTGACCGTAAAACAGTATGTTACAGGAATCACCAACCCATCGATCGCGGTCGACAAGTTGATCTTGGAAGCATTTTAAGTCGATCGCAAAGAGTTTTCAAAATCAGAGAAAAAAAGCCTATTGTGTGTAGTGTGTCTAGGGGATGCGGAGGCGCGCGCGCTGTTACAATCATGTCATTTTTGCTGCGCGCACCTTTGGGCTCATGCGGACGCGTCGAGTTTAAACAAGGCTTTACGCTTTAACCAGCTCAGCCACAGTAACAGCTCATATTAGCCAGCTAAACTTTTACTACCCTGTTAGAAAAAATATATATAGTTGCATGTGGTTCTTCTCCCTCGCTGTATTATGGGTTTGCTATGTGGGGAAAAATGTGCTGGTTATGTTTGTGAGACAATCAGCTGATTACCATTATTATATTATATATTAAGACCCTTGATCCTCATCTGACTATGGCTTTGTAAACTTTATCCATGATGTGGTTTATAATGGACTGTGGTACAGAAACAGTGACAATGTTACACACTACTGGCTTACTCTGCCTATTCTCTGCTGTCTCAGACGACGATATTTTGTCCCGTTTTAGCCACCGTAGCTTCTTCGAAAGGGAGGGGTGAGCAATGAGCTGAGCCCTTAGTGCACCTCGCAACCGAACCGCTAGATGTCGCTAAAAAATACACACTGCACCTTTAAGGTGTGGTCACAATGCAGGACAAATACAGTATGCTCAATAGGAATCCACACAATCGGGAATTTTGCGTGTGGGGCATGTGAGGTAAAAAGTTCCTGACACTGATTTCACATCGGATTCAAGTCTGTTGAACTTTGAACACACAAATTCATGCATTTAGTAATATGAATCTTCTTGATTTGGAAGCGATCCTGTTAGTATGCTGAGCTTCATGCTGTTTCTCTACACACTATTAACAATGGACTTAATTGTCTGCAAAATTTAGCCAAAGTTTTGCTAATGTGACTGCGCCTTTACAGTAACTGAATGCGAAGTTTGCTTATAGCAAAAAATGGAGTGGATTTGGATGTTTTACGCAAAGAGAGGAAACTGTCGTCTCTCCACTCCACCCATATACTCTTTTCCCAACTAGCTTTCTACAACCAAAGGCATGCATTCATACTTCACCTACTTGTTGAAAAGGTTCAGGCCAATGCGGTAGTGCCTCTTGCGGATTATATCATTGCTGAACGCTGGGGAGTCCCAACTGTTGCGTGTCTCCTTATGATACGTCTGCTTGCTGAGAGTCTGCTCTCGAAGACTATCCCTGGATGAGGACTCTGAACTGCAGTTGATGGTATCGTTGGAATTGGAAGTGCTGTTGATGCTGTCGTTATCGCCGTCAGAGAAGTCAGACTCTGATTTGCTCTGCCGGTTGGCGGTGCCATTGATTGCCAGGTGGCTTTCCAGCTGCCGCGGCCGATGCCGAGGAGCCTCGTCATCTCTAGCAGGTCCCCGTGGTGGGAGCGCGTGAGAGGGGATGTGTTTTGGGCTGCCCTGCTGGCTGGCGATGCTCCGATCGTAAGCGTTCTGTCTTTTGAGGGAGCTTCGGTCAGAGCGGTCACTCAGCTCAACTGAGCTATCGCTGGGAGGTTCGATAGTTAGCAGGGGTAGGTGGTCTATTCTCAATCTCTGCTCTTGACACTCCAGAGACGGGGTGCTGCGGCAGCTAGTGTCCGTGTCGCCCTTTTCATCTTTATGAGCTAGAGACCAGTAATCCTGCGAGGAGTTCAATGAACGTAGACGAAGATCTGACTCTGTGCTAGAGGGTCTTTCAACTGATTGTGTTAAAGGAAGAGGAGGGGAGAGCTCTTCCTCATCTATATAAAGTGTCACATCACTGTAGGATGCTGTCATCTCATCTCGCTTACGGTGGTCACTGCTGTGGGAAGGCTTGACCTGATAGGTAACCTCTTTCTCTATGTCTGGATGACCTCTGGTTGACTCTGGCTGTCCCTCGTCACCATGTAGGCTGCGACAGTTCAGAGCATCATCTATCGACTCTGCCAAAGACTTCACTTGTCGAGAGAAAACGTCCTCCAGCTCAGTAATGGCATCCGTGAAATCGCTCTGGACCACAGGCGACTTTATGTTGGCGGGGACCATTTCCCCGCGCTCCGATTGCACCAAGGCTCCTAGTTTAGAACCATCGTCGGTAAGAGACACTTGCTTCCCCTCAAAATAGGAACTATGGACTTTTTCAGGTCCTTCAAACGAAAACTGCATTCTCATATTGGATAAAACTATGCGTCTGGACATGCGGTTCTCCGACATAGAACTCCTGAGGCGCTCAAAGTTCTTATTCATTTGATATTGGCGGAAGGCAGTCTGGATCGTGCGTGCAGCATGTCGGGTTATAAAACGCCCTCCATACTTGCGCTCCAGCATCTCCACCTGTGGAAACACAAAGATTATGCACCACTTTTAGTGATAGTAGCAAACCCACATGCACAAATGTCCCTCCTTCTTTAGTCTTACAGAATTTTGTTGTTGATGGGACTTAAATAGCATTTTGTCCTCCCTCCCATGACACAACATGACTTGACCAAACCTCAAGCCCCAAATGGTAAGCCACATAAATAAAAAAGACAAACAAAAGCCGCACATAGTACTAACTAATAAAGCTTGGGTATTTTGCCAGGTAGGATGGATAAAACTCACCATTTCATCCCCTTATAAAGGCATTGAGGACTGAAGAACGCCTTTAGCATGGTACCTAAGCAATCAGTTATAACCTACTCCCATGCTAAAGCCAGCCCAAGACCTTTTTAGCCTGAAGAATGGGCAGAACTAATCAAATTTCTCAGCTCTGTGGGACCTCACACAGAGACGGTGGGCAGCACGCCTCTGGATAGTACCACTCTGAATATGAATCACTCTCCCAGCATGCATTGAGTAATGATTCTCATCTCCCAAATCCAAAAAGGCTCTCATTGATCTCATATCAGCCTTTGGGTGTATTAAATTACTTCATATGAAAGACATGCAGTCACCACAAGCAAGGAATTTATGTTCAACCAACTACAATAAAGTAGATTTATTTACACAGTCCTTTGAGGGGAAGTACATCAAGTATAATATGAAGCCACTGAACCTCAATCACACTCCCTCTGCACCAAAACGGCTCATAGCAATGTGAATACAAATAGTTGGTGGAGAATTTATGGTTTCTTGGTGGCCTTCCAGTTAAAGATCTCGAAAAACTCTACCTGTTTGTCTTGGAGGTCGGTGGAGAGCTCATAGCTTTCAGACAGTGATCGGGAGCGTTTGATGGCCTCCTCCTCTGCCTGCTTGCGTAGGATCGACTGGGAATGCTGGAGTTTGGGTCGCCGGGGGCGCTGCCGTACCTCGTGAGCGTACAGTGGTGGGCCGTCGAAGTGCTCGCCACTGATGATGGCACTGCGGCTCACCGGCCCTCGTAAGTAACCCCCACTGTTCTCTAGAGAGGGGCCCGCCTCACCCCCCGGAGCCTCACCTTCCACACTGTACAGGGAAAAAGAAAGAAATCGTAAGTATTGTGGGTTAGAACAGACAAAAAAGGAGCATAAACAGTTCATACTGTCGAATGAATGAGGCATACCAGCAGGGATTCGGATTTTGATTCAATTGTCATTATGATTCAATGAGTCAGTTGTTCGAGAATCAGACTACACCGGTTGTGTGGTATGTTTTTGATTTACTAAAAAGAACCGACTCAGAGTAATTTGTTTGTGAATTGTACTGTTCTGTTGCATGAAATGGAAAGATGTTTCTTGTCATTATTTCACGGTACATGGTCTGTTATGGCATAACATTCAATACAGACTGCACATTCAGATTCATAACTATGAAGAAATATAATTTTCTACAGGCCAGCACTAACTGCTTTAAACAGTAGACGCAACACATGCAACTGTATTTTTCCAGACACAAATCAAAGTTCATTGTAAATCCCATTATCCACTCCCACAAGCTTACACGTGAGGTCAAAAGCTGAACTTTATAACTAGTGTGGAGGTATAAAAGCAAACGACTATGTTTATAGCAACACGTTGTGGTATGATGTACCTCTGTCAAGATAAATAAAGAGCAATGATTACAAACACTTCCTGCAAAAAAAACTTATATTGGACGTTCAGGAAAAAGTCTTTCTTAAATTGATTAGGTTAGTATTTTCCTTGGTGCTTTGGTGTAATCTGTGAGTTTCAAACTATTATAACATACAGCCTCTATAGCATGTGTTTTAGCGCCTACATTTCTCTAGTACTGCATACTAAGATAAAACATTCAAGCAGTATAGTGTCAGCGTTCACATACATCATGCTTATACACCAAACAACACACTCCGGGACGCAGAGCAGAGAATCAACAGCATAACTCCTACCTGTCAAAACCTTAGCAGAGGAATACCTTCTGTGGCAAATAACTTTTGTTGCTCAAGGCAATGAGTAAAAGGAGAACTGTGACACATTCGTAAACAATCACACACTTCAACCACACCACCTCTAATGTGATTGCTTGGAACGGTCAAAGTATAACGAGGGCTATTTGATTATAAATATCAGTTACACCAGTGATAGAGATGACAGGTAATAGTAATATAGGAATACACATTATATTGATAGATATCAGCTATATACATATCTGGGGACACTTTAATTTAGTGCCCAATTCTCACTAATAACTAGTTGCTTATTAGCATGCATACAGTATAATAGGATATTGTCTGTTCATTAGTACTTATAAAGCACATATTAATGCCTTATTCTGCATGACATTATTCTACATCCTTAATCCTACCCAATACCTAAATTTAACAGTTGCCTTACCAACTATTAATATACAGTAATTATGAGTTTATTGAGGTCTTAGTTAACAGTTAGTTGGACCCTAATCTAAAGTGTGACCCATATCTTTTAATACATTGTGCATCCCTATGTTACGTTTTTTATTTGTAAATAGTATTTAATATTTTTTAAATTATTTTTCATTCTGAATATTATAATTTGTAATACATATGTTATATTATAAACAAAAAAGTAGAGATTTATAATATCAGCCATAATATGGCAATAATTATCAGCTTGTCTGTATCTGCCAGAATGTTTATAGCATGCTTGGATAGAATTGTAATTTTAATAGAAATATTGTTCCAAGAAGACATCCTACTTGGCCAGCTGTCACTACTGTATATACTTTGAGGTAAAGATCTCAAAGCTAAATCTGAATTATTTCAGTACATGTTTGTTTTGCACGAATACTGCTTCTCATCAACAGACTCCTTGTACTTTCTTGCAACAGCTAAGTGCCAGTAGATTAACTTTCTAGATTAAGTGCTCTTCTTTTAATTAAATGAATTAGTGTGCAGTACAGCACTCAGTATTACAGAGATGAGAACACTGACACAGTCAGATTTGATTGAATTTGTTCATCTTGTATAGGGGAAAGCGACCAAGGTGAGGGTATATAGAAGTCGGGGCATACTGTTTGCAGGCGTTTCCAATCTTGGATAAGACAATACGAGAACTTGGTGTAGTTTGACTTCAACAAATAATAACCTCAGGCGGCAAGCTCTATTGAGCCGATGAGACCCCTTATACAACCCCTGGAGCTAGTGCTGTGATCGTCAAATGACATACAGAGGATATGCCCGAGAGATGTCAGGTCGAAGATATAGAGACTGTTCTCACACCCTTTGACACGTCTGTATTCACCTGCTGCTTCTCTAAAAAATGCTCTGAACTACAGATTCAAAGGGGAGGTCGCCACAAAAACCAGACATAAACGTGTTCATCAGAGTCACAGGTCATGGCTGTAGAATCGATTACAGTGCATGCATAGGGACAACAAGAAGGCTAAATGGATGTCTCCTTTATACGCTCCATACGGCACAAAGCATGCCACAGTAATATATATTTACTGGTTTTAGATCCTTAACAGAAAAGAACAAATATTTGGGGAAAATGAAGTACAATTTCATTGTCAAGTTCTAAGATTTTTCTATTGTTGTTATTGTTAATTAAAACTTAAAATATTAAAAATGGTTTCCGTTAATTGAAATAAGCAGAAATAAAATATAAAACCATTAGAAAAAAAAGAAAATTCAAAATATCATAATAATATGTAAAGAACACTAAAATAACACTGTATAAATTAAAAAAATATACATTTACAACAATTTGTAATGCCCTTTTTGAGGTGGCAAAAATACAATCCAATAATTGGCCTTACATATATATGTTAAAAAAGCAACACTATATAAACTATTAAAAAAAGACTACGGATTAAAAATCACAATGTGCATAGATACACATCAAATAAACACTTATTTAAGTCTCACAGTCAGTTTGAAGCTTTATGTGTTTGATTCACTGAAAAGAACTCACTCAGAGTCATTTGTTCATGAATTAGAACACACTATATGTTTCAGATTGAATAAAAAAGAACCATACACCAACCAGTTATTAATTTCAGGAATAAGACAACCCTGATAGTGTTGTCTTTTCCATGCTGTAGATTAAGTAGCACAAAGTTCTCAATTCTCAACCCTAGTACTGCCTGTATTATCATGCAGAGCACATTGGGGTGTCTCTGAGAGCCAATGACATGACCTCCAGACATCACCCAGAGTCAGTGAACACACATAAAGCCCACCTGCCGCTCTGAAGGACACAGCTAATGAGGGGGTAAGATGGGTAAAGTCAGAGGTTATATATAGATATAAAGGTTAATACAATGGCCTTGTTTCCCGTATTCCTACATGCACACTTAAATACTACCGCCCTGCCCACAGTGTTTGGTAATAAAGGAAGATGAAGACATCTTGTTACACGTGATTGTACATTATATGAAAACACACTGCAAGGTAATTTAGATGATGAATTTGGCAGCTAATTTCCCCACATCTTTGCACTGAGGCCAGCCGGCTCGAATGACTTTCAGTGTCTGCCGCCTGATGTCTCCTGAAAGAGCTCTCAGCGGGTCCCTTGAAGGGTGGCAGCAAATACAATTTTCATTTTGTTTGGTTGCCTTCTCATCTCTCTGAGGAGAACCAGGGCATTTTCAAAGTCTGACTCCCCCTAAACTGTGATAGATGACGATGTCTGAAAAAGTTGCAATTATTGTGAACACAAGCAATATAAAACCCTTCGAGGATGCCAGATGACAGGTCTGAGAATAGATCAGAAAATAAATACTTGGAAGTGTTTTGAGATCATCACAGTGATGGTGTGGGGCAAAATGAACAACTTTCTGAAATGGAGGACATCAATTCATCTTAAGAGCAAAAAAAAAAAAACTAAACATACAATAGGCTAAAGGTTCAAGGTCGAGTCACTAAGTTTAAACTACAAGGAGGGATGAAACTGAATGACTGACAATCTAGCTCTCATTTTAATTTTCTGCCTCATGTTATTTTATAAGACAGTGAACACAGCAGCAAATTGAATTTAATGAGGAAAAAAAGCCTGATTTAATTGAGCCGAGGGCTGCGCTCTTAAATCTATACGCTGCTGTTCAAAACACTAATTAGAAATAGGTTCATTGTTAAAACAAACACAGATTAGCTTAAGTCTATCAAAATTTAACTTTCATTCTTGTAATGAAACAAGCAGACCACTAGGGGCAACAATGAGCATTTCAGAATCTAGCCAACTTTAAATGGATAGCTCAACTAACAATACATTACAAAAATGTATTGTCAGTTTTAAACAACATGAGGGTGAGTAAATTATCTTAAAACTAAACTATCCCTTTAACAAAACATCTGTATTTTATTACACTCAAATGTAGTTTACACAGTATATAGATGGCTGATTTAAGCAAACCAAGCGAAGTGTGGAGACAACTGAGGCTGTGTCATACTCAAATCTATAACTCGAGACAGCTGGCGAAGTTCTTTATTCTCCAGAGGGTCTCATTAGGCAGCAAGAGGAGGCGCCTCTATTGGACTAGTTTGGGCTCCAGTCACGTCCAGCTCAGAGAGATGTGGGAGGTTCTGACAAGGGTAAGAGAACGCAAGTGCTAACAAGATGGTGAGGTGTTAAGATCTGACAGAAGATGAAACGCACCGTCTCTTGCTTTCCCCTTTGGAGTTCACCTAAATGAGGCTATCAAAAGAAGACCTCTATATTAAAATGCTATATTACTAGTTTGAAACTCAAAGCCAAGAAACTATTGACTTACAACATGCCGATACAAAGAGGAACTAATCACTACTGATTTCAATCATCTTCAATTAAATGCATTTTACATTTCATCCCTCCAACAATCATAAGAGTCCGCAATAAGGCAATTTTTTGACAGCCATTTCTGCTGAGTTTATGTAACTTAAACCTTGTACTTCATCTAATTTGCTGTGAAGCTGAAGTGCAGATGCTGAGTCTAACAAGGTAAAATAACAGCTCATTTACATTTCACTTACCTAAACTATGTGTCATTTGAACTCTTGGGTGCTGCTTTTGGAGTCTTTTTCATGTTCTGAATCTTCAAGCTCTTTATTGCCA